AACTGAAACATGCATAATACTATAATATTAATTGAGAATATAAGATTTATTTTATATAAGTGAAACAACTCACTTTTTCTTTTATTTCTCGATGTGGGATTGTAATTATTTTTAAGTTAAATATTATGAGAGTTTCAAAATCTCATACAAAATTATTTTTAAAATCAAAACGCCTATGTGAGATTATAAAATAAAAGTTAAATGAAAATTTAACCAATGAATATTTTTTTAATTATTTAAAATTAAGAAATAAAAAAAAGGTATTGATTATAGGACTTCTCATTAAAAATCTTCTTTTTGCTTATATAAATGGGAGCATATGATTCATTTTATATAAGTGAAACAATTCACTTTTTCTTTCTTTTCCTGATGTGGGATTGTAAAATAAAAGTTAAATGGAAGTTGACCAATGAAGATTTCCTAATTGTTTAAAATTAAAAAATTTCTATAATTTATATAAATTGGAGCATAAGATTTACTGTGTGTAAATTAAACAATTCATTTTTTTCTTTTTCTTTTTCTTTTTCGATTTGGGATTGTAAAATAAAATGTAAATAGAAGTTAGCCAATGAGGATTTGCTTAATTGTTTAAAATTAAGAAAATTCAATAATTTTAGAATGAGTATTTTGAGCTTTTAGAAGGTTTCTCCCTTAAAACCCCTTTATAAGATTCACTTTATATAAGTGAAACAACTCATTTTTTATTTTTATTTATTTTATATGGAATTGTAATACTTTATATAAGTGAAAAAACTCACTTTTTCTTTTATTTCTCGATGTGAGATTGTAATTATTTTAAAATTAAATATTATAAATATTATGAGAGTTTCAAAATCTCATACAAAATTATTTTTAAAATCAAAACGCCTATGTGAGATTATAAAATAAAAGTTAAATGAAAATTTAACCAATGAATATTTTTTTAATTATTTAAAATTAAGAAATAAAAAAAAGGTATTGATTATAGGACTTCTCATTAAAAATCTTCTTTTTGCTTATATAAATGGGAGCATATGATTCATTTTATATAAGTGAAACAATTCACTTTTTCTTTCTTTTCCTGATGTGGGATTGTAAAATAAAAGTTAAATGGAAGTTGACCAATGAAGATTTCCTAATTGTTTAAAATTAAAAAATTTCTATAATTTATATAAATTGGAGCATAAGATTTACTGTGTGTAAATTAAACAATTCATTTTTTTCTTTTTCTTTTTTTTTTCGATTTGAGATTGTAAAATAAAATGTAAATAGAAGTTAGCCAATGAGGATTTGCTTAATTGTTTAAAATTAAGAAAATTCAATAATTTTAGAATGAGTATTTGGAGCTTTTAGAAGGTTTATCCCTTAAAACCCCTTTATAAGATTCACTTTATATAAGTGAAATAACTCATTTTTTATTTTTATTTATTTTATATGGAATTGTAATACTTTATATAAGTGAAACAACTCACTTTTTCTTTTATTTCTCGATGTGAGATTGTAATTATTTTAAAATTAAATATTATAAATATTATGAGAGTTTCAAAATCTCATACAAAATTATTTTTAAAATCAAATTTATGTGGAATTGTAAAATAAAAGTTAAATGGAAGCTAGCCAATAAAGATTTTCTTAATTGTTTAAAATTAAGAAAATCAAAAAAATAAGTATGAGATACGATCATAGGGCTTCTCACTAAAAATTTCATTTTGCTTATATATATGGGAACATAAGATGCACTTCATGTAAGTGAAACAAATCATTTTTTTTTTCTTTTTCCGATGTGAGATTGTAAAATAAAAGGTAAATAGAAGTTAGCCAACAAGAATTTTCTTAATTTTTTAAAATTAAGAAAATTCAATAACTTTAGAATAAGGGTTTGGAGCTCAGAAGATTCCATTTTTCTTATGTAATATATAAATAGACAGTGAAACAAACTTTGTTTTTTCTTCTTCTCCTGATGTGAAATTATAAAATAAATTAATTAGAGTTTTATATTTATATGGTTAAATGGAAGTTAGCCAATAGATTTTTTTTTAATTATTTAAAATTAATAAAATCAATATGAGAAATCGCAATTAAATCGGCGAATCGGTCAAACTCAAAATTGTTCAGCTTAATTGATTTGGTCAAATGACCAATCAACTTATGCAAAAATTAAATAATTAAAACTTTTAAATGTTATTTTAATTTTAAAATTTAAACTGTTTTGAATTGAAGTATACACAACACTACACTATTAAAATTCACTTTATATAAGTAAAACAATTTATTTTTTTTCTTCCTTTTTTCGATATGGGATTATAAAATAAAAGTTAACACTTATTTGGACTGAAAGCTTATTTTTAATCAAGCAATCTCAGTCCTTCAATCTTTAATCAGATCAACCTTTAATTTTTTTCAAATCAAACAAATCTAATTAATATATTTTGATAAAACTGCTAAAATCACGGTTAAACCAACAAATCAATTAAATCAAAAATGATTTAGTCTAATCATGTAATTAAAATTTTAAAATTTAAACTATATTAAATTGAAACATGCACAATACTACAATATTAAATGGGATGAGAGTATAAGATTTACTTTATATGAGTAAAATAACTCTTTTTTTTTTTCCGATGTGGGATTGTCAAATAAAAGCTAATCAATGGAGATTTTCTTAATTGTTTAAAATTAAAAAATCAAGAAAATTAATATGAGATATTGAAACTCTCACAAGGCTTCTCACTAAATGAGATGGGAGTAGATTTCTTTTATATGAATAAAACAACTTATTTTTTTTTTCCTTTTTTTCCCGATTTGGGATTATCAAATAAAAGCTAACAAATGGAGATTTTTTTAATTGTTTAAAATTAAGAAAATCAAAAAAATTAGAATAAGATATTGAAATTTTCACAAGACTTCTCACTAAAAACACCCTTTATCAAGTAAAAGTTAGCAAATAAATATTTTCTTAATTGTTTAAAATTAAGAAAATCAAGAAAATTAGTATGAGATAACTCTCACAAGGTTCCTTACTAAAAATACTATTTTCCTTATATAATATGTTGGTTTGGGATGTGGGGTTGACTTTCTGGTTATTTTAGCCTAAGACTAAAAAGTTTCATTTGGGATAAGTTTTTTAACTTTTTTAATTTTTGTGAGAGAAAAAATAAAATAATTATGAGTTGATGTGATGTTTTATCTTATTAGATTAAAAATCTATTTTGTCTTTTTATAGTTAAAATAATCAAAAAGCCTGACATGCCAAACGAAGGCATAATAAATAGATTTTATTTTTTCTCTCACAATTATTAAATTAACTATAAAAAAAATCAATTATTATTTCAAACAATTTTTTTTTAATTAGATTAAAATATATAAATAATTAAAAAACCAACTAAAATAATCAAATTACTTTAGTTTTAAAATTAGACTGACACATTAAATAATAAAATAAAGTAATAAAAAATATAAGGGACTATAACTCAATTCTTATACATATACTGATATAAAAAGAAGCCAATAGGCCTCATCTGCCTCCTAATGTGAGAACAGAACAAAACCCAAAGAATATCTTCCGAATAATGTTAGGGTTATGAAAAAATGTCATAAATATGATTATGAAAGATTTTCTACCTTTAAATTATAAATATAATAAAACATTATATATTAATCAATAGATGAAAAATCTTCATAATACATTTCATGATATTTATTTCATAATATTTAACATTACCCATATCTTCCTATACCCATAGGTCAACAGACTGTCACGATAGCCATCCTCATCCATACATGCATGCATCCAAAATAGCTTACTTGAGTTCAGATTCTCTCGATTAATTTCAGAGTGATTTTTTAAAATAGTTAAGATTTAATTTTATAAAAATTGAAGATGTTTGGGATAAGTAGTGGATATTTTGATTCGTTTAAGTCAATCGAATTGAATTGATTTGTTGTATTTTGGACGAATGTATGATGATAAGCGGACGATTATAGATCGATTTTTTTCAATCCGCCTAGTTTTGGACAGATAGCAGATTTGAAGTTTTTTTTAGTGTAACTAAACTGTTTAATCGTAATCACCCTAGTAATTTGTAAGATTTCATATTTTCAATTTGTTTAGATATTTTATTTGTGTTTTTAATTAAAAAAGTGTTCAGATATTCTGTTGTGTTTTCAATTTATTTTCAATTTGAAAATGTTTTTATCAAATGGTAAGGGTTGATATTTGGTATTTTTATGTAAAAAATATAAGGTTTAATTTTGTCATTTAAAAAAAATTAAATAGTTTTTGAATTAAAAAAAAGTAATGAAGTAATTTTGATAATGCATGATTTTCTTATATGTATTTATCATTAGTATTTGACTATTTATTTTATAATCTTTTAATTATGTCGAGTTGGATTGTTATAAAAAAAAAATATTAACAAGTTATATTCAAAATTTATAAAAATTTAAATTACTAAATTGATTTACATTTATCCGTTAATCGGCATCCATAAATTAACAGACGGATAACGAATTAGATATTTTTCCACCACAATCCAACTGCCAAAACCTCTAAAAGGTACTTGGATTGTTATAAAAAAAAAATGTTGACAAATTATATTCAAAATTTATAAAAATTTAAATTACTAAATTGATTTACATTTATCCGTTAATCGGCATCCATAAATTAACAGACGGATAACGAATTAGATATTTTTCCACCACAATCCAACTGCCAAAACCTCTAAAAGGTACAATACGAGAGTGCAATAGTTTTGATAATTGCATAAAAAAAAATCAATTATACAAAAAAAAAAATTATTGATGAAGAGATTTGAAAAAAAAATTTAAAAAAAAAACAAAAAAAATGTAAAATTATGTAAAATATAATTTCACACATTTTTTTTTTTTTTCTAAACTTCTTTTTAAATTTTCCAACCAAACCTCACATTAAAAAAAAATCACGGTAGAGAATCCAAATTGAGCCTGACCCCATACATATGCATAAAAAACAAGAAACAATACTAGTATATAGGTAGGACCATTTGCATCACACCCACATCAACCCAACCAGCCAGAGCCAGTGCCTAAACATGTTCCTTCCTGTTCTGCCCCTCAAACTCCTCCTCCTCCTCCTTCACATAGGCATCCCTGCCGCGACGGCCCAACTCCAGCCTGATTTTTACTCCCAAACATGCCCTAAGGCTGAATTGATAGTCCGCAACGTAATCGACAAGGCCATGGCCAGACAAGTCAGAAACGCGGCTTCGGTCATGCGCTTGCAATTCCATGATTGTTTTGTGAATGTACGGTCACTTCACCATATTCCTCTGTTTTTTTCTTATCTTTTCTTTTCTTTTCTTTTTTTTGACAAAAATTCAGATCGGCTGTTCAGTTGATGATTTTTATTTCTTCTTCTGTATTTTTATTATTTATTATTATTATTATTTTTTAATCATATAGGGCTGCGATGCTTCGCTGTTGCTGGATGACACGCCAAACATGCTCGGAGAAAAACTTGCTCTCTCAAACATAAACTCTCTAAGATCATATGAAGTCATAGATGAAGCCAAGGCGGCCTTAGAGAAAGCCTGTCCGGGAATTGTTTCTTGTGCTGATATCATAATCATGGCGGCTCGGGATGCCGTCGCACTGGTATGTATGTATGTATGTATGTATAATCTTAATTTGTATATTATTATGGTCAATGAAAAAGAGAGTTTTTATTATTTATCTATTTATTTATTATTATTATTATTATTTGTGTGTGTGTGTGTGTGTGTTTTTTGGGGGTTTAATAATTTTTTAATTTTTTTGGTTAAATTATAATTAAAAAAATTAATAGGTCTTGTTTGTCCTAACTTAAAAATAATAAAAAGTCAAAAAATTACTATTTTATTTAACTTATATTATTTTATTTAAGTCACATCACCTCTCTATTATATCATTTCAAATTCAAACCATACTCAATTCATATTTCATAAAATATCAAAAAATGTACTTATTTAGATCATCCTAAACCACCTATATCTTTGGGATAATTTTTAAATTTTTTTTAAAAAAAAAGTATACAAAAAATAGAATTTTTTTTTTTGATTTTTTAATATAAATTGTTAATTTTTTAATTTTTTAACTTTTTAATTAAAAAAATTACTTGTGAAACGAGACCCAAGACGATAATTATATATACCACAATAAACTGTTCTTGGTAGTGTTTTAATCCCTCTTAATTAATTATTAAATACTAGATCACATATTATGGGTTTTGAACAGAGTAAATAATACACTCGAAAGATGTGTCAAGTGGGTTATGTCTAATTTATTACTAGAGAGTGAAAAACAAATTTGCAAGCAGCCTTGTATATTGGGCTGTGATTTCCAAAGGGTTCCGTTTGGGACGTGGTTAGTTTTTTTTTTTTTTTAAGAATTTTTGTGAGAAAAAAATAAAATGATTATGATTTGCATGTGACATTTTATCTTGTAACTTATTTTATTATTTTGTGACTATTTTAATAAAAAAATCTCATTTTAATTTATGGCAAACGATTGTTACTTAAAATTCAGAGCGGAGGACCCAATTGGGAAGTGAAGTTAGGAAGGAAAGACAGCTTAATAGCAAGCCAAGAGGACTCCAACAACATCATGCCCAGCCCAAGAGCCAATGCGAGCTACCTCATTGATCTGTTCAGCAAATTCAATCTATCCATCAAAGATCTTGTGGCCCTTTCTGGGTCTCACTCCATTGGCAAAGGTCGGTGCTTCTCTATCATATTCCGGCTATACAACCAATCCGGGACAGGCAGGCCAGACCCTGCCATTGAACCCAAGTTTAGAGAGAAGCTAGACAAGCTTTGTCCACTTGGCGGGAACGGAAATGTGACAGGAGACTTGGATGCAACACCACAAATATTCGATAATCAATACTTCAAGGACTTGGTCAATGGCAGAGGATTTCTCAATTCTGATCAAACTTTGTTTACAAATTATTGGACTAGAGAATATGTCAGGCAGTTTAGTCTTAATCAGAGTAAATTTTTTAAGGCATTCGTCGCGGGGATGATTAAAATGGGTGACTTGCAATCAGGGCGGCCAGGAGAGATTAGAAGGAACTGCAGAGTAGTCAATAGCCGGCCTGTGGACATATTGTTAGAGTCTTGAAGGAAAAAAATGGAAAGTTACGTTATTAGAGTGATTGTTTGAATTTAATAATTTGTCCAACTTGTCTTCATATAGTTGGTGTTATATTAATATAGTGGAGTATAATGACCCTGTTTGATACAGTTTTTTTTCAGCTTATTTTAACTTTCAGCTTAATTTAAGCTATTTTGATATGTTTGGTTTAGTTTTGATATGTTTGGTTTAATTTAACAATGCAGCTTATAACTTTTTGTAAGTCAGAAATCAGTTTATTCTTTGAGTGAGGCAGGAGAAGCTTAATTTATAAGTCAGAAATCAGTATAATGACCCTGTTTGATACAGTTTTTTTTCAGCTTATTTTAACTTTCAGCTTAATTTAAGCTATTTTGATATGTTTGGTTTAGTTTAACAATGCAGCTTATAGCTTTTTGTAAGTCAGAAATCAGTTTATTCTTTGAGTGAGGCAGGAGAAGCTTAATTTATAAGTCAGAAATTAACTTATGTTCATAGTTATAAGTTATAAGCTGTTAAGATATAAACTATAAATACTTTTTCACAACTCTACCAAACAGCGCTAATGCATTTGAATCAATGTTAGTGAGATTGTTATATACTACCATTAGTCTTAATTGCCATGGTGTGGATAGTTTTTGTTTGGTTTCTAAGAAACATACATGGAGTGGTCAGCATTGCAGTACAGTCCCTCTTAAATTGTCCATTGCAGCGGAATTTATTTGGGGCTAATTTGGGAATGTCCTTGTCTGCAAAATATTGAAAACAATAGTTGCAGTTCAGGAATCAGTATGCGACAGTGATTGTCTATTTTGATATTTAATTATCAACAAGACTTCCTGAAGTTCTAGAAATTATTGGTGAGTCTTGGGATATCATATAGTGTTGTAATTGGTGGAGATAATAAAATTTATGAATTTAAGGATTGTTTGGAGTGTCTTAAATAAGTGTATTTTTTATTTTTTTAGACTAAAAAATTGAAGTTGAAAATATGGATGTTTGGGTTAACTTTTTGACTTTTTATGAAAGGATATGTAATAAAAAATTGTAAAAATTGATTTGTAAAGAAAAATTTGAATTAGAAGTTGTACAGCTGTAATTGTTGACTTTTGATGAATAATATTAACTTTTTAACTTTTTGAATAACTTTTTAACTTTTTAATTTTTTTACAAGTTCTCAAACTTGATCTTATATTGAGTGACTGGGCAATATGAGAAAATATGAAAATTTGTAATTAGTAAGGAATACCACTACATGACACCCTAGGAGCATCAAATAATTTTTTCCTGAAGTCCACCAGCCCAGCACTTCTCTCTCTCTGTATTTATACTAGAAGTAGCATTAAACCCCCAACATAAAAATAAAAAAAATCTGTGGATTATGAATTTGTGAAGAGGACAGATTTTTACAAAAAAAGTGGCAAAATTCACTTTACTTATGGTTTCGCCTTCAAAACACTTTTTTTATCTTTATATTATTCAAATATAGATAAAGAATCTCTTATGATTTTGGACTATGTACTACTGTTAATTTTTCTGTCAAAAGTAATGATATATGTGGCACACTCGCTCAAATTGAGAGTGGGCATAATTTTGTTTACTATAGGTCTCTATTAATTTTTTGTAAAGAAAAATGATCTGTAGTTTAAAATTCGGTGGCTCGAATTTGAGTCGAAACTCAAAACGACGTCGTTTTGGGTATCGATTTTTTTTTTTTGGGTGCCTTTTCTTGCTTTTCAAATAGAGAGACAGAAAAGAGAGAGAGAGAAAAAAAGAGAAAGAGAGAGAGAGAGAGAGGAGACAAGAGGAAGAGAGAATGGGAAAAGATGGAGATGGTGATGGCGGAGGAGGAAGATCGGCGGTGATCGCCGGTCGCCGATCAAAACTTTACTTTTTTTCTTTTTCTTTTTTTTCCTAGTGAATCTGGATCTGAAAATGATGTTGATGTTGGTGAAGATGTTGTTGTTGATGATGATGATGATGATGTGATGATGAAGATGTTGATATATATATATATATATATTTTTTTTCTTTCCTTCTGGTGGATCTAGATCTGTTGATGGGTGATAAATGGGTGATAAATGTTTGTTGATGGGTGTTGTTGATGAAGATAATGTTGCTATACTGATGAAGATGATGATGATGTTCTGTAATGGGTGATAAATGTGTTGTTGATGGGTGTTGTTGATGAAGATGATGATGATGAACTGATGAAGATGATGATAATGTTCTGTTCTGTTTGTTCTCTCCTTCACTCAACTCCTCTTCTCTCCTTCTCATCCTTCCTCTTCTTCTTCTTTCTCTTCGTCTGCAGAGAGAGAGAGAGAGGGAAAAAAAAAACTACCTAAAACGACGTTGTTTTGGGTAGTCGGGCCACTCGAGTCAAATGAAATTCGAGCTACAAAACGGGGCTATTTTGTAAAACTTCAGGGAGGTGAGTGAAATTTACTATTTGAATATATAAGGGTAATTTTGAAATTTTTTACTCATTGTACATGATGTCATCATATTTTGTTAAATAAATTAATAGAGGCTTATTTTGGGAATATGGTAAAAAGTGGCTTTTTGGCTTTTAACTAAGCTTTTGGCTTTTTTAGACAAATGATTTGGGAAGTTGGTAAAAAGTGACTTCTGACTTTTTTGATTAATGTTTGTTTATGATGTCAAATCATAATAAAATGACCAAACTACCCCAATTTATTTAAAATATTTACAACTTTACCTATGTAACACATTTTGACCCATGAGGGTAAAATTGTAATTTCACCGTTGGCTAAAAACCAACTTCCCAAATGAAAAAAAAACAAAAACAAAAAAGCCAACTTTTGACTTTTGCTACAAACCAAAAAAAGTGGCTAAAAGCCAAAAGTAAGGGTAGTTTCAAAAGTAAGGGTAGTTTCTATAATTATTAAAACTACATGTGAAGTCTTTGTAATTGTCAGAGACCTCAGGGGAGGTGAGTGTAATTTATTCATTTTTGTTGCATCGGTTTAAAATAATAAAATTCTCTATGCAATGAATAGTAAATTGCTAATCATTATTTGATAAATTTGATATATTCACATGGTGGTAGGTTATCTTCATTAGAGTATCTCCAAAATTTTTATAATAATTATAAAAATTATAAAAAGAGTATATATTTTCGGATAGAATATAAATATTATTTTAAAAAAATTTACTATACATTTAAATATTTTAATAGAAAAATTACTATTACATCTTGAATTTACGTCAAAAGTTATTATTGTAAATACTATTCATTGAAAGCGACATTTGACCTATTGATTCAAATCTTTAGCTGCAAAAAGAAAAGGCACAAGCCGCAAATTTTGAATAAGGAAAAGCCATGTGAACATTGATCTATCAGAGGAGCGTATATTAGGCGTGCAGACGAGTGTCTCCTCTCCCCAACCGGTAGAATTGTGGGTATAAATATAAGTATTTTGTTTTGAGAAAAATTAATAATTTGAAAAGAAAAATTTGTGTATTAAAAATTCAGTCCCGCTATAGACCTCGAATGAAGTCTGCCGTGAATGGCTCGAATGATGGTAACACGTGAACAAGCTGGTAACACGTGGCGAAAACAGATCCTACGGGTTAGAAGCTACCACATCACGGAGAGAGAACTAAGTGAGTGTTGGACGAAGAGACGTGTTTTCTCACATAACAAAGGCAAATAGACTCAAGCTTTTGCCCCAAAATCTCCATTGACGACCAAAGGGAAAAAAATAAAAGAACGGAGTAACAACGATGCCGGCTGAGATTAACAAACGACGACGTCCCACAATCACATCTTACTCTTTTTCCCTAAACGGCTCTCTTCACTTCCCTATTTCCTAGATCCCATCGACGTCAATCTGCCTGCTGGCAGAGTATTGTTGGAAAAAATGGTTTTATATAGGCATATTTTTTAACCCAATTTGGGTGGACCCCAAACAACGTTTGGGGTGGGTTCGACGAGGTGAAGTGTTCCTTGCCGCGTGGCAAGTCACACGATGAATACGGAATGTCAAAACCATTTATGAGTGAATGGGAAGTTGACATCGTTTTCAAGTTTAACATTAATTTCTTAATAAAATTCTTTTGAATTTTTTCAATAAGAAATTAGTGTGGGAATTTAATTTAAATCTAAATTCAAATTTTTGGATTCCTAAAGTAGTTTCCTAAAGTTTGTCAAATAGATTAATATTTATATTCCAAACAGGTTTTATTAAATCTATTATACTATTGGCTTTATTTTGATTATCTAGTCTAATAGTTTAATAATATTTATATTTCAACACTTTAGAATTTAGTCTCCTTTGACTACTTCTTCAAATTGTTTGAAAGATGTATAACTGTTCCTGTACAACGGCTTGAAATATATTGAAACAGTTGCAAATTGTTTGAAATTTGAATGGCATCTGTTCATTTCAAATATAATCTGTTCACCTTTTTATGTACCTGTTCGGGTCTATTAATACAAGACTTGTTCCAGCAGATGTGGGGGGAATAAAAAACATCCAGGAAAAAATTCTTCGGAAAATTGAAATCTGCACAGTAGCAGATCTGTCCAGTTCCCAATTTGTATCTGTCCTATAACAGTTTCATATTTGTTTGGCAGTTTACACACCTGTTGGGACAGAATTTTGTGCCTATAAATACCATCATTCCAGCAGTATTTTTGGTCCGAAAAATCAGTCTGTAGATTGTCTAAATTGCTGTCCAGATTTTATTTGTGCATTATTCTTCATTTTAGTTTTAGAACAAAATTCAGAGAGTTAGAACACAGGTTTGGTTCGCCGAACAAATTGTTTGGAGTACTACTACAATTTGTGAAGATCATTGTATCCTGGGAGATAGACGCCACTCATCCGTAAGTACCTTAGCGGGGCGAATCTGTCTTAAGGATAGAGTGTCACACACTCGACTTGGTCTTGTAATTTTATTTGGTTCGACAAAATAAATCCGATATGTTATTTATTTATTTTGTTTGAGTATATTTCTAGTTATTTTATTTACACAGAAGATTGTTCCAACAAGTATATCTAACAACAATAGTGGCTGTCGACTTGAAGCCCCACCATCCTACAATATACACTCTCCAAAGTCATCTTCTTAGTTTGCCTTCAATACACTTCTTCATTATCAAAGATTTGTTTGTAAAAGTGAAAATTTGGGTTTGCTCAGTACAATCCTCAATTTAATTTTTCTGATTTTCTTTTCTTTTTGACAATTTTTCTGGTTTTCCTCAATTTTCTATTTGTTTAGAAAGTTTTTTTTTTTTTTTAAAATGTGAATGAAATTTGTATGAATGTGAGGAAAATAGAAGGAAATGTGAACTAAGTTAGATTTCCTTTTTATAATCGAAGGCAATGTCACACCGGAGCTACTAGGAGAGGATCATCGTCTTTGTTGGGCATCAGTCGATTACCGTCAATGGAGGCGCCTCTAGGGAAAATCCGATCGGGTTGGTATTTTGAGTGAGGAAAGGAGTGAGAATGAAGTAAGGAGAAAAGAAAACATGACTGCCGTTAGTTTAATTTCCTTGTCAGCGACGTGAATGTGTTTTTGTGAATGTCTTGTTCATGGTGGATGGTGGGAATGTGGAGGAGAGTGTGAGTTGGGTGTGGGGTTTGAGTAGATGAGAGAGAGAGAGAGAAGAGAAGAGAAGACCAAAAAGAGAAGAAGGTCTTGCGTTGGTTGAAGAGAGAGGAAGTTTCGAGGCATTCGAGCCTCGACATTTCGAGGCCCCAAGCATTAGTGTTAAAAAATTTTAATTGTATTTTCACTTGGCTCTTTTACTTTCAAATTGTCTTTGTTCTTACATTTTTATATCTACTCTTTTAGAGAGAATCATTGTAAATGAGAGATGAAATACCTTTTATCTTTATTGACTATTTTGTGAGAGAATTTTGTAAAGGAGAGACATTTATTGTTGAGTGATGTTCAACAGATAGGAGTAAGACTTGTGTAAAATCCACAAATTTAGTGAATATTTGGTGGTGTATTGATTTGTTTGATAGTGAATAAATTCTTGAGGAAGATCCTTGAGGAGTGGACATAGGTTTAGTGTGTTGAACCACTATAAATCGCTATGTTTGATTTTCTCTCCCTATCTCTTTTACTTTTATATTTATTATTATTGCTTTGTTCTTTTTATTTAAATTCAGATATTTTGATTATTATATTTAAAATTGTAAAATTATTGTTTAATAACTTAATTCATCCCCTCTTGGATTACCTACCTAAGATAATAAAATATTAAAGCACATCGGATAATATTTGTATTTTAAATAAACTTAAGGAACTGTATTTTTAATTTATCAATTTTTAAAAGGGAATGGGTGGTTGGTTGTTGTGCTCCCAGGACAACAATCACTGTTGTACTCTCATGTGGACCTATTTTGAGATTCGTTTCGATAATCAAAACTACTCACTTTTTAGAGTACATTAAGTAAAATATATCTGTAAAAAAATAAAATTTATCAAATATCATTAACCTTTTCATCTATCACATTTGTATATACAAAAATGAATGACATGTAATTTGAAGTATGAAACTGAATAAAATATAAGTCGATGAAAAGGTCAATAATGCCTGATTAATTTGAATTTGTGTATGTATATTCTAATTAATGTACTCTAAAAAATAAGTAGTTAAAATTATGAAAACAGATCCTGAAATAGGCTTATATAAAGGTACAACAACCTTTTTCCTTTTCAAAAAGACAAATCATGTTAATAAATAAAGTTTGCTATTAAAAAAAAAAATGCTCATTTTTCAAGTCCAAACGATCAATCAATTAATCATTCTCATATAATATTTCTTTCTCATATCTTCTATAATTATTAACCAATAAACCTAAAAAGTAATTCATATAGTATCATTTTCTTAATAAGATACGAAAGGACGGGAATAGCTTCTCTCTAATGAAAAACGAATTGAACGATATTGTTGGGTTTTGGTGAGCTTAAATTCGGGTCCATTTGATAATTCAAACCATTCAATATGTAGAGCTTGTTAAATAATTATTCTTGCAAAAAAAAAAAAAAAAAATTAAATATTGATAACCATTTGATCAAATTGCATTTGTATTGTGATCTATTTTTAAAATTATAGTTATCATTAAAATAAATATAATCTAATCAAATAAATATTAATATCCAATTAATATAAATTTTTTAATTAAAATAATGTACTCCGCAAACTTTATGTAGTGCACCGTTTGAATTAACTTTAGGAAAAAGCTTCGTAGCTCAAATCTTTTGTGGCTTGATTGGTCTGAAATTCAAAATTTTAAATTTTCTCTCTCCTTGTAGTGAGTCAAATATAATATAATATATTAATATTTTTTCTCTCCTCGTACTCTGTTTTCTGTCTCCTTCTATTCAAAGCCAAAAACCATTGAAACAAAAACTCTTAGCAGATCTCTCCCACTGAAGATTACTCTCACCCGTCCCTTGCTAATCTCTCATCTTCACCAAAAATTTATAGTCCTAATCTTAGGCAAAAATTCAATTTTATACCACCTGAAATTTATATCAACACTGTTGAATAGTTTTAGGTCTTTGTCTGATTGTAATTGGGTGGTGCCTTGTACCTTCTAATACAGTTTCATCTTATTTATTTGTATATATATATATATATGTACCATATAGAAAGCAAGGTTGACACTATGATACAGTTAACAATATTTAGGCAAACATTTGATGAAAATGAGAAAAAATCATTAGTTCTTGAAAAATAATTTATAATGCAAATTAAAAGTAGATATCAATCTTGGAAGATACTTAGTCAGTATGGAAAGATTTGGTGGACGACTCCTCTTCTTCTACTATGGACAGAGCATAATGTTGATGTCCACACATAGCAGCGGTGGTGACACGCACATAGCAGTAGCGGCTGCGGCACACACACAGCAGCAGCACCCAGATCGGTGCTCAGTGGCAGCACTATTCCGCTCATCTCACTCTTTCGAACAATGCTCAGCGGCGACACTCCGACCGGTGCTCAGCAGTGGCACTGTTGCTAGGTTACGAAGGAGTCTTCGCTCTGTTCTTTTCCTCTTCTTCTTTTTTTTTTTAAATTGAAAATGGGAGTTGAGTTGAGCACACGCACACACCACATAGAAACTCAAAATCGGGCCACTCCAGCCATGACGTATTCGAGCTATGTAGCGGAACTATTAACTTTATGGGATCTTTTGAAAAGTACAAAAAAAAAGCTACGAAGTTAGTTTTTAGTTATTTATCTATTTTGAATCATATCACCTTTTATATCTTTTATAAATAAAAAGATAAAATAAATTAAAAAAATAAAAAAATAACTTTTTTTTATCAATTTTTCAAAAGAAAATATTTAAGGGTCACAATTTTTATGGCCACAATAATTCAAAACTGTCAAAAGCACATCATTTTGGCTAGCATTGTTGTTTTTCAAAACATCACTGTGTCGTGCACTGTTTGAATTATTGAAAAGAATCTAAAATGAAGCCCGTCGAGCCAAAAGTACCGTCTACTTTGAAGCTGTTTTCCGAAAGGACTAGACACGACAAGACAAGCACATGTCATCCTTTCCCTCGATTCTCGAAAGGCTCCACTTTCCCTTTTCTCACTTCCTCTCCAGCACTCACCAAAAATTTGTTACAGATTGAAATACTCCACTACACAAACCACATTATCTGAATCTCTGTGATAAATGGAAATGATGTTTGAGGAGGTGATTGTGGGGTCGAATTCACACTCAACTACTCCTGTTTCCCATCTCAATAATTATTCTCCCAACTCCATCGCTAGTCCCGGTGGCAGAAATTCAAGCACTCGACCACAACCACAATCGCAACCGAATCGGCGGCTGTTTGTTACAGAGGAGGAGGAGAAGAAGGATAATCGTAAGGGAAGTTGCTTCTTGTGTGATAAACAAGGTCACTGGATGAAGGATTGCCCCACGAAGAGTCCAAAGACTCCATCTTCATCTCAATCTCCATCACCATCATCACCATCACCTATTGGAGGCCATGGTGTACCCAATCTCATTTGCCGTTGTGGTACCGGAACTTGCTTCGTCCGCCGCTCTAAGACTACCAGGAATCCCGATCGCCTCTTCTACTGTTGCCCCCTTACGGTAACCCTTAAAATTTGTGTGTGTGTGTGTGTGTTTTTTTTTATTGGGTTGTAATTTACCCTTTAATTTTTTGAAATATTATTGTGATCTTTTGACACTTGTTTGATTTTCTATTTTCTATTATTGTTTTTAAGGATAAAAGTTGTAATTTCTTTGAGTGGTGCGACGAAGTGTGGAATGATAAGATCACCGTTCCTGTGTGCCGCTGTTTCGCCGGACCCTGTAGTATTTACAAGGAACCCACTTTCACCAGGTCAAATGCGGGTCGCTATTTCTTTGTATGCCCCATTAAGAAGGTATTTTATTATTACTCTCTTTTAATATTTAACCTTTTTTTACTTGTTTACTTTCTCTTTCATGTGTTCAATCTTGGAAATAAAATACCATCTTGTTTAAATGAATGTCATGGCCATTGATTTGTTGTTATTATTTTTTTTCTTCTACATATTCTTTAATGTTTATCCTTGATCAAGTGCTTTTTTGTGTCTTTTCAAATACTGATTCAACGACTTTTCCCACCTATGCTATGCCATTTGTGCAAAATTAAAATTTAATTTAATTACTTAATTTAGGAAAATGTTTAAGACCCACAAAAAAAATCTCCCACAATTCGACCATGATAGATGTTGACATTTTAGTTGCAACACTCAATTGTGTATGACCTATCGCCATTGCCACATTATTGTGGGTGAATTTCGGGATTCAAATTGTGGGTGTCTACTACTTCCCCTTAATTTATATGTCCTCTTACAGATGTTGGGGCTGGCAACTTTCATGGTTAAGAAAAAGGAGCAAGTTTTTACCCACCTCAGGGCACCTTTTATGTGACAGGCCTTGTTAGATTTTTACTTTGGTTGGAATTAATACCCATAGTTTTGGGAAACAGGGCTTCTTTCTGTCTTCTTTCGATATCCATTCCCTTACTTGAAAAATGGAAATATCCCTGCTGCTGTGTTGTTCATGTTCTTTAAAGTTGGGGGACATGCAGAATTTGTATTCATTGCCTGGACTTGAATTTCAAAAGAGGTTAGCCTTTTTTATTTATTTATTTTTCTTTTTTTAAAACGAATAACAAAAATAAGTTTGGAAACTGTTTTCATTTCCAAAAAAAAGTTATTTTAAAAAATTTCCAAACTGGTGGTGGGGTTAGGTTTTGTCAAATCAAGGTGGGGTCAAAACTAAGTCGTAGGGGTTATAAGCTAAAGTGGTGTTTTGGTTATGACCTAAAATAGTGTTCGTTACGAGGCAAAGCAACATAGATAGTGAGTAGAGCTGCGAACGAGTCAAGTCAAGCTGAGTTTTAGTATGTTTGGGCTTGTTTATGAAGATTTTAATGAATTCGAGTTTGAACTTGGGCTCAATAAAAATTTAATGAACCGAACTCGAGCTCGAGCCGAGTTGGCTTAGACTTGACTGGAGCTCAAACTTGTCCACAAGCCTTAACGAGCTAAAAAAGTTATAAATTCATATTTGTGTATGACACTAAAGTTACAATTGAAATTTTGATTATACAATTATATATATACAATATATATAAACATACTAAAAGAAAAGTGAATATTTGACTAAAATAATAATATCTACTATCACTATTATATAAATGTATTATCTATAGTTAGTTATTGTTTACATTTATATTTTTTAAATATATAAATAACATATTTATTTTATTTTTTATACATATTTTTACATTATTTAATATATAAATAATAAATGTTAAACAAGTTAGCTAACAGGCTGAGTTTTAGGCCTCGCTTGGGAACATGCTATTTTAGTAACTTTTTGACTTTTTTGACTAAAATATGAGGTAAAAAAAACTAGTATGTTTGGGGTGACTTTTTGGCTTTTACGAAAAGATGTGCAAAAAGTAGAGAGAAAAGAGAATTTTTGACTTTTTGGTATAAGTTATAGGCTTTTTGGCTTTTTAGATTTTTTAGTAACTTTTTGACTTTTTGGCTAAAATGTTAACTTGCCAAATGAGGCCTTAATATGTTTGGGCTTATTAAGAGTTTAACGAGGTCGAGTTCGAATGCAAAAAAAAAAAAAAATTAACGTACTAACTTCGAACTAGTCCTTATCGAGCCAAGATTGAGTCTGTTCATGAATGACTTTGTTCATTTGCAACCCTAGTAGTGAGGTAAAGTGGTGTTTTAGTTGTGAGCCAAACGGTCCTACTTACAAGGTAAATATTATTATTTGTTTCACAACGAAGATCACTTTAGATCATAGCAAAGCATATGCTACACATTTTTTAGAAGTGTGTAGTGTACGAAACATGGGTTTTGTTTTTGCTTTTTGAAAAAAGCAAAAAAATTGGAAAACATGTTTCTTCTTTTCTATACAAAACACACGAAACTATAAAATCGCCAATAGCCACCTCAACTATTATTGTTGGTGAGCTACTAATACCACAAACCAATTTTATGTTCCTATCATGTTTATTGATCCATTAATTAAATGACTTTTTTTTTTTTTTTTTTTTTTTATATTATGCGATAGTTATCGTGGCATTTTTTGTCTAACTTTTGAATAGAAAGTAGCTTTAGGAGTAAAGTGGAAAAAACTTGAAATTTGAAGGGCCAAAGTGGGAAAAAATAAACTTTTAAGGGCTAAAGTGAAAAAGTGGCCAAATATAAATATACAATATTTTTTTGTTTAAAAGATGTTTGGGTATTATTTTCAATCATTTTGGTGTAGTTTCTCGTTGTATGAAAAAGTGGGTTTGGAACTCCTTCCGGCTTAGTTCACCGAACAAATTGAGATTGTTTGGTCTTTGGTAGCCAAACAATTTAAGTTTGTTCGGACTTCTATGATCGAACATGGCTAATTAATCAATTTTGGCCCATTTGGTGGGACACGGGCCAAACACACTTGATTTGGTTGACCGTTTTCCAACCGAACAAACCAACTTTGTTCGGTCGTGTGTTGTTGAACAAACAGAATTTGTGAGACTCTGGTTCGTTGAACAAAGCATGAACACTGAAAAGAAACTGTGGAACTGGTGGTCGGGGGGAGGCTATGAAGTGGTGATTGTAGCGGTGAGGGGTTGCTAGGTGGTGGCCATGGGAGTGAGCTGCGGGGTGATGCTCGGAGGTGGCAGAGGTGGCGATGGAGGTTGTAGTAGTTGAAGATGGATGAGTTGGGATTCGGAAGATATTGAGTTTAAGGAGAAGAGAGGAGGTTAGGGCTGAGGGTAGAAAAAAGGAGTGTGTAAAGAGATGAAATAAGATTTTTGAATTTTTTGGAGTGGTGTAATTAGAAAAATTGTGTAATGAGGTAAAATTGTTGTGTAAATATAATTACCTTTGTTTAAATAAGCTAGAATTGGTTTTTTGCTCTGTAAATGTCTTTTTTACCACTTTTAGCTGTAAAGTGAATTTACCTACTTTTTGTAATTAATTACCAGATTAAGAGGTCATTCCAACAATTGATCAATCTAATGAAATTATATATAAGGCACAATAATAACACAAATATTAAAAAGGCATACCGATTAAAGCTTTCCAAAGTTATCAAACAAGAAGTCAAATATTAACATGACAGCACTTGCATATATTCATTATCAGGCACATTAAAAATAAAAACCAACAAGAAAGTTTCAAACCAGGCACACTTCATCCAATCAAAGGAACACATTTATCATAGTACTAGTCCTAAAGTTAATAAAAAATAGTTCACAGAGAGGTAGTGGAGCTGCCATTCTCAGATTGTCACGCTGCTGCTGCTGAGAGCTAGAGTTCGAGTGATGGGTTTCAAGGTGCACCACCTTCTGCATAAGCTGAGAATCAGAATCACCCTTGGAGGTGATTATGAAAATCAGCTTATTTACCCTCCAAAAAAGCTGTTATAAGTTTTAGTTGGTGTCATAAAGCTGTAACAAACAGCTAGATTCTGCTTTATTTAAGCTAAAATCTATAAGTTGAGTAGAAAAAAGCAGTAACAAACACCCATGAATGTGTTGGAGATGTCACGTCAGAATGGGAAAAGGAAAAAAGTTTTTATTATTATTAGATTTTTTGTTTTTTTTAAAGAAACAAAAAGAATAGTGTAAGCTTGCTGAAAAGGCAATCATTGAAAAAGTTGAATGACATGGCAATTTAGAAAAGTTACAGTATGGAATTAGAAGTTAAAAAGAGGTGTGGTGATGGCTTATGAGGACAAAAGTGTCATTTTAATCAATGGAACAATAAATGTATGTGGAGCCATAGAATTGGTTTGTGATATTAACTACTCATTTATTTTTGCACTTCTGAAATGTATCTCCTTGGATAAATTAATCTTTAAAAGCTATTTGTGCTTCATAATGCTATTTAAATTCTTACAGGGACAGGGTGCTTGTGACTTCATTCAATCATTGGATGCTACTAGTAGTCATTCAGATAAAAGTGTTATTTCTCAGTCTACATTGACCAACTGTCATGACACTAGCCCCTCAAGCAATGACTTAGTTGAGGATGGGGATTTCAGCCAACAAGGGATGGATGTTGTGTCACATGTAGTGAACAGTTCTGAACATCCTCAAAAGTTGGGGGCAATTTCTGAAATTTCTAAGAGAGATAAAGTGAAGCTAATGGATTTTCAGGCCCAAGAAGAGACGCCAGATGAGCCTATGCGAAAGCATTGTAAACGACAACGACATGAGGCTCCAGAAATTGATGGTTTCATCCTTGATTCAACAAGTTATTGTTCTGACATGCCACAGTCAAAATCAGGGGACCCTACAACTACGAAGGCACTCCGGGCGTCTACTATAACATCTGAGGTTTTGATTCATCAAAGGCAAGTGTAGTTTTTGTCGGAGATTTCTTTTGCCAGAGCTTCTTTGTCAGAAGGTGTGTCTTGTTTGTGATTTACGTTTCATTATTTAATATCATTACATATGGTTATTTGAATTTTCCTACATTACCAGGAGTTGTGTTTTTTTATCTCTCTTTTGTTAATGTGGTTCTTATATGAATTCACCTTGTGTAGGTTCTACTTACTACCACAATGATTCTCCCTTGCCTACAACCACAGTGGCCTTAATAGATAATTGTTTGATGGGAACGACCATATGTCAAATTTTAGGGTTTAATGTTAAGGGCTGGTATGGACGGCTTGTGTTTTCACCATCTCGATGCCTGATATTTCCTGCTCCTAAGCCTTTCTTTTGTTGTAAGTATGACTATATACTTCAGTTAGCTTTTTCTTCACGTCTGGCAACCAAGTTTCAAATTTATTGTGCATTTCTTCTCAGGTGTTGTCCCTGCATTTCATCCCATTTTTGTCCCTCAAGATGTCGACACATTTGATGTTGAAGCAGCAAACATTGCAATGCCGAGTCTGTCACCTGCTCAATCTAACAAATAATCTTTGCTTACTCCTCTTGGTCAGCCTTTAGGTTCTTCTCTTTCGGGGCCATCAGGTCTCAGCCCTCCCCCCAAAATTTTACAAGGAAACACCATGACAAATTCAATTGTTGAGGTATTCAAGCAGGCTGCAGTGCGCCTTCAAGATGATCTTCTCAATGTTTTGAAGTCCAAGGATTTTCATGATCATGAGTCTATGATCCTAGAGGCCTGTTTCATTTTTTGTTAGATGCTCTGTTTGTTGATTCTCAACCCTTTAAAGAACAAGTGGAGGAATTTATTGGTTGTGCATCATCACTTGCTGAAATAGGATTGTCTATTCACAATGACCGTTCTGCACAGGAGCTTGTTATCATGTACGAACGCAAAAACTATAGTTGGAAAATATTTCTCGTCTTCATGCTGAGACTCGGGCTGCTTTAGAAGCTTCTAATGAGCGCCATCAATGTCTTCAAAAAAAGGCCTCCCTTGTCAAGGATATGCTTTTATGTATATTGGAGCAATTATCTTGTTGCGAGGGTGAGAAGATGAAGATAGGGAATCGCTTGGATCAAATCACTGAAGACATGTTGAATTCTGAGGCAAGTTTACAAGTTGCATTTGGTGAGGCAGAAGCTGCTATGAAACTTTGTCAACAGAGGGAAGCAGAAAGGAATGTTGCAAAGGAAGCCTTTGAGAAGGCGAGGTCCAACCTGCGACGAAGCTTGTGAGTATGTTGATTTAAATTTGGTTGTATACTCTCTCTCTCTCTCTGACTTTAGGTATGCCCATGCCCTTTAATTATGTGTATAATGATAAAGACTTGTTCCTTTTTTTATGGTTGCACCTCTTATTTATCTTGAGCTCTTTTAATCTGGTTTTTATGGTGAGCAGTGACTTTCAAATCCCTTGTTAACAAGGTTTATAAGGTGTACTTAGTTAACATCTCAAACTTTCTCCAACTGGAGCCAGAGACTATGGCTCTGTTTGGTTGTGCTCTGTAATCAATTTTCTACCCGTGTGTTGGAGCATGATGTTTGGTTTCGTTTTCAAATCAATTTTCTACACTCTGCAGAGAGAACTCTGATGCACAGGCGCCTTTTTTGTCCACCCGGTAGACCACCCGGATGTCCACCCGGATGTCCGGCTGATTTCCAGATTTTTTTTTTTTTTTGCAATTGATTTACATAATCGGGACAAATATTTTCTGAAAATTTTTAAATTTTTTGTGCTTTAAAATAATTTTGAATTGTATATTTAGTTATGAGTTGTAAATTTTTGTATCACATATCAAATGTCACATCAATAATTCCCCACTCAAATCAAACCTCTTTTCCAAAACTATTTTCAAAACTCTTTACCAAACAAATTTTCTACACTCAAATCATAATTCCACAACACACAAATTCGAAATACAACTCATACTCTCAAATCACATTTACAAAACACAACCAAACGCTACCTATGTTTCTATTAGGATTTGTCAAGGGCAATGAAAAGGGTGAGCATTATGGCCACGGCCGAAATGATCCAATGAATCCAATTGTAAATTGTAAAGATTGATGGCATGCTCTGACTTAAAGTTGCTTTTACTGGACATTCAAATATTTTAATAAAAAATTTATTATTCGTTTTTTGGATTTGCGTCAATAGTTATTACAACAATGATTTATTCCACTAAAAACACCACCACTAATAGCACTAATGTATTAAAAAAGTAAAAAAAAAAAAAAATACAACTCTAAGATCAAAATATCACATCATTAATGGTGGGACCCACTGCCACCTAATTAGTGGGAGTACTAATTAGTGCTCCTAAACATTTTTCTAGTTATTATTGTAAATACTATTTATTGAAAGTGCAATTGGACCTATCAAATCAAATCTTTTGCTGCAAAAAGAAAAGTCGCGAATTGCAAATTTTGAATAAGGAAAAGCAACGTGAAGATTGATCCGTCAGAGGAGCGTGTATTAGGCGCGCAGAGGAGTGTCTCCTCCCCCGACGGATAGAATTTTGGGTATAAATTTAAGTATTTTGTTGCGAGAAAAATTATTAACTTGAAGAGAAAAATTTGTGTTTTCAAAATTTTTGAATATATATTTCACTTGGTTCTTTTACTTTCAAATTTAAGTATTGTCTTTATTCTTATATTAAAGGAGAGTTGAAATATTTCTTATCTTTATTGATTATTTTGTGAGAGAATTTTATAAAGGGCAGTCATTTATTGTTCTCATGGAGGATCCATCAAGAGTGGACACAGATTCGGCGTATCGAACCAATATAAATCGATGTTTTTCATTTTCTTTTCATATCTCTTTTACTTTTATTTTTATTATTATTGTTTTGTTATTTTTTTATTTAAATTTAGATATTTTGATTATTATATTTAAAATTGTAAAATTATTTTTTAATTACTTTATTCATCCCCTCTTGGGTTACCTATCTAGGATAATAAAATATTGATAATTTTTCAAAGCACATGGATAATATTTGTATTTTAAATAAACTTAAGAAAATGTATTTTTAATTTATCAATTTTTAAAAGGAAATGGGGTTGTTGGCTGCTGTGCTCCCACACAACAGTCATTGTTGTACCCTCGTATGGGCCTATTTTGAGACTCGTTTTAATAATCAAAATCACTCACTTTTTAGAACATATTAAGTAGAATATATCTGTAAAAAATTAAAACTTATTGAATATCATTAACATTTTCATTGACTCACATTGTATCAACAAAATTAAATGACAAATGTGCTTTGAAGTAAAATGAAATGTGAGTTGATGAATTGTTGGGATATACTTTCTTATTGGAGTGTGAGACCTAATTGGTTTGTTAAAAGAATTTTAATTTAGCTTGATTTAGGTATAATATATTTTTATATATTATATTTGTGGAGACCCAATTGAATTTGGATACAACTAAAATTTTGATAAAACAAACCCAAGATTTAATATATATATATATTATATTCATCCGATGCATCTGGAGAGAGGGCCGCGGCTGCTATACATACAAATTCGGTAGCTTTTGTCTATGTAGGAGCAACAGTGGTAGGTCAAAAAGTCAATTCGGTGGATTAATTTAATAAGCTTGCTGTGTGATTTTCAATTGGTGTTTGGGCAATGCTATTGCTTGATTAGTTGATGCTACTATTCTCCGTTCTTTCGAAGCATAGTTTGGTTCGTTATTTTGGGTCCTCTTCAACTCTGGTTCTGAAAATTTTGGTTCTTCTATTTGGTGAGGTCTTTACTCTTGTTTATTTGTGATTATTTGGAATTCACCTAAGGGTGGTTTTGTGAGACCATTCGTGTCTCATTTGTAATCTTTTGGAAACTTATTTGGTTGATAGTGAAATCGGATTTCGATCCCGTGGACGTACTTTACATTGAGGGAACCATGTAAAAATTCTTGTGTTGTTTTTTATTTAATTTTTCCGCATTAGTTTTTATTTCCATTGATTGATTTACTTGTGGAGAATTACATATTTTCCTTAACAACTGATATCAAAGCTTACGGTTTATTTGGGTACATTTATTTGTGTAAATCAATGGAGGGGAATGTGGGTCGTAGGTCTAGCTTCAATGGAAGCAATTGGGTAACTTGAAAAACTAAAATAGAGGACCTATTATTTTGTAAATATTTGTATGGACCCATTGAGGGTGATAGTGGCAAATTCGAGGATATGAAAGATGATAAATGGAATAGGCTTAATCGAAAAGCCGTTGGTGTTATCTGTCAATGGATTGATGACAGTGTGTTTTATCATGTTGCTACTGAAACTTCGGCACATGATTTATGAAAAAAATTGGAGTCTTTATGATAGAAAATCAGCCACAAATAAAGTCTTTCTGTTTCGTAAGTTGGTTAATTTAAAATATAAAGATGGCATCTCCATTCCAGAACATTTGAATGAAATAAAGAGTATTGTTAACCAATTTGCTTCTATAAAAATTATTTTTGATGATGAGTTGCAGGCTTTGATGCTACTTAGTTCTTTGCCCAAAAGTTGGGAAACTTTGGTTGTGACAGTTAGTAATTCGACATCCGATGGAGTTGTCACAATGGGCCAAGTCACTAGTTGCCTGTTGAATGAAGAAACTAGAAGAAAATCAACGGGTTCCTCTCATTCGGAAGCATTTGTTGTGAGAGGTCGAAGTAAAACAAGAGGGAGGAGTAAGACTCCTCATGGCCATGATCAAAGCTGTGACAAATCAAAAGATGGTTCTTTTTTAAAGAAAGACATTGAGTGCTATTATTGCCATGAGAAAGGGCACATGAAATGAGAATGCCGAAAGCTTAAGACCAAGGAGAAAAGGCGTGACAAAAGTGTGGATAAGAAACAAGAAGACACAACGGCAGTTACTACCGATGATCTCATGGTCGTTTGTGAAGATAATTGTATTAGTTTTGTGGGCCAAGAGAGAAATTGGATAATTGATTCCGGTGCTTCTTTTCATGTGACTTCTCGAGTTGATTTCTTCACTATCTACACCGAAGGAGATTATGGTTCTGTTCGAATGGGTAATGAAGGTTTGTCCAAGATTATCGACATGGGTGATATTTGCTTGGAAACAAATTTGGGCTGCAAGTTGTTGCTTAAAGATGTGAGGCATGTTCCCGAAATTCGCCTCAATTTGATCTCTACTGGGAAGCTAGATAATGAACGTTTCAACAACAAATTTGGTGATGGAAT